GTTGCTAAACAGAATCTGTTTAATTTTTAAACATATTTTAGTGTTCAGAATAACAAATGACCTGTAAAAAGAAGTCTCAAATATTGTTTCTTTCATTCTAAATACAGATACAAGTTCTCGAAAAATCATAAGTAAACCAAAATTCTAGTAAAGTAATAATACGTTAAGATGCACCACTTCTCTCTGCTCCCTTAGCTGCAGAATAAAAGTTGTACACAGCAGGAAGCAGAAAAGTTAATCAAATGGTTCTGCTGTCTCTGCTAGGTTGGGAAAATAATAACATTTGGTGAACCTAGGAAAGAGCCTTTTTTTTCCTCCCATATCTTTTCCTGTGACCCAAACTTCACTTCCACAGCCTCCACCCACCCACTCCCACCTCCAGTTTTAGCTTCTGTAGAGGCTGGTTACCAAATTGAGGAGTGAGGCTTCAAATAAGAAAGCACCCACCACCCTTACTAGGTACGGACTTTGGATGAAATGCCAATTCAGTTAGGAGACATACAGAGCGCTGTGTTTGTATCAGAAATTCCATCTGATGTTATTTGCTTGGGATGCTTGCAATGTCGAGATTCTTCTCATGCTACCATCCATCTGTGTCTCTTAGAATAGGCCGATAAGATGGAGAAGAGATACTGTGAGATTAAAAGAAAGTTAAAAGAACAAGAAACTAGGCTTGAGGCAAATGAGAAATTGCAACATTAATTGCTTGAGACATAGTAAGTAAAGAGCTAGTAGCTTGTAGAATGTTTTGAGTTATATCCAAGCGGAACTATGAGAGAATTTGTCCTCTCAGATTCACTTATCTAGAATATAAATAGGCTCTAACAGAAGTTACAATTAAAAAGCCTTTTGGATCTGTTTCAGATAAATGACTGGATTTATTGGGGGCAATTATAACATGCGTCATTGATATTGGCCCCATAATTTCCTGATCTTGTTGCTATTGAATTTCTTTGGATCAACATTAAATATTGCAAGCAGCTAGAATGCCAACAAATGTGAATGTGAAGAAAAATAACTTACTGTATTTTTCAGAGTATAAGATGCTCCGAAGTATAAGACTTTTTGGGGAGGAAAATAAGAAAAAAATCTACTTCTGCCTCCCAGAAATTTGCTTCCTTGCAGCAACAGCAAACAGCCTGTTTCAGTTTCAGTTAAGCCTGATTAGCACAAGGAAAAAAATTGCCTCCCAGCAATTTGCCTCTTGCAGCAAACAGAAAACAACATGTTTCAGTTTCCATTTCAGCACAGCCTGATTAGCATAAGCAGCAGTTTGTCACTTGGATTGGCCTCCCGATGATCAGCTGTCCCGCTCATTTCAGGCGGTGGAGATCAGAATGGGCGGAAAATGGGGCATGCGGAGGCCAAAAATGGAGCATGCAGAGGTGGCAATAGTCAATGGCAATCCATGCAGCCTGAAACAGCAAATCGAGGTCGATCCAATCTCCTGATGATATCAACTAATCAAACTGTTCACTAATCAAGCTGCACTAAGCCAGCTGTGCTGAAGCTGAAACTGAAACAGGCTGTTTGCTGTTTGTAGCAAGGAGACAAATTGCTAGA